TGCCAGTGCGGTGGAGTCTGGCTCATGAGGAAATTAAGGGGTGCTTCGTGTCCTGCTCTCTGTCCTGGAGTGTAGGTGCAGGCCTGTGGGCTCCTCCTTCCCCACTCCAGGTGCTAAGGGTCCCTGAATGGGTTTTCTTTGGCTTGAGTCTTGGGGGGACTGACCTAGCTGCGGCTTCTGGGAACTTCCAGGGTCTCCAGCTCCCCACATCTGTAAACTCCTCTTTAACTTGGGCCTCCCATGAGGGAGGGGTTTCTGGCTCCTGCAGCAGAATGCCCTCAGTTCTTTTTCCTTCTTAATTCTGGGAAGGCTCATTCTGTCCTGTTCTGGTGGCTTCCATTCACTCCCAGCCAAAGGGACAGTGGTGGCAGCTTTCTCTATCACTCCCCAGTATAACCACATGGAATCTCAGAACATTCAACTGGAGGGGGCCTCAGAGAACACCCATCCCAAACTATTTTATAAATTAGGAAACTGAGACCCAGGGAGGGCAGCTGATTTGTCTACGTTCACATAGCAGTGAATGGTGGAACTGGTACTCCCGGTCAGTGTTTTTTTTTTTTCCCCTGGACCAGAAAGCCTTGTCTTTATTTTCTATTTTTTTCACTTTCTCTTCTTTTCCTTTACTACTGAAACATTTCATTTTTTCCTTTAACATTTTCTCTCTGTTAAGCAGAATGACTTGTATCTAAAGGTTCTAAATGGCACTTGGAACTGGGACCCCTGTCTGGCACAAGTTTCCTTTGTCCTTTTGAAACCCTTTTCCCCTTTCTTGTCCTTCAGTCTCCTAAGATACCCAGGGTCCCTGTCCTCTCACTCCCTGAACTGTCATTTCCAGCTCCTGTTTTTTTTTTTTCCAACTACCAAGGCGGAGGTAGAAGGAAACCCTCAAGGAATTGGCTCTTTTCTCTAATCACACTTTCCTGATCTTTAAAATGAAGAGAAAATCTCAGAAGGGAAAATATGGGCACTTGTTTATGTGTGTGTGTGTGTGTGTGTGTGTGTGTGTGTGTGTGTGTGTGTGTACGCATCTCACGTGTCTCCCAGCAGCTCCCGGGGGTAAATGGAAAAGTTAATTAGCACCAGGATGAAAGGTGTTCTGGGATAATTGCAGGTACTATCAGGACAGCTAGGAGGGTGAGGCCTGAGGCTTCTAGACATCCTAGGGAGTGGGCAGCCCCTAGCCCCACTCCTGCAAAACAGATAAGACACCTGGGGAGGATGAGGGGAGGGAGCATTCTGAGTGAAGGGTCTTTGTCTTTACAGGGAAATGCTTGTTAGTTGCTAAGGAACTGGGTTGTCTTTCCTGATCCAAGGCTCCCAATGTTTTGCTTAGCTTGGGAGGGGGATGCTGAGCTGAGGCTTGAGGCTTGAGGCTCCCTTGGCAGCCAACCCTTTCCCTGGAGCTGCCGAGCCTCTGATGGGTCTCTTGGGAGGACCCTCTTCTGGGAGAGATGGTTCTTTCCCATTTCCCTATGCCTCACAGCTGGCTCCAGCCGAACTGGGGAGAGCAGGTGAAGTGGAGGCAGGCAAGGAGAGGAAAATGCACATATACACGGAACAGCCTGCATGCCCGGCATTGTGCTCAGCTGCTGTCCCTGTTAAATGCTATCTCATTTAACCATTTAACAAAACTTTGGAGGGAGACTTTTATTTCCATTTTTTTACTGTGCTGTTTTTTGCAGTCGAAACACAGCTTTGGAGCGGTTGCCGAGGTCATGGGGCTATCAAGTGGTAGACATCCTATGTGAATTTAGGTCTGCTCAGTGAGAAAATTGTGCTTTTCAAACTACACCCTCTATGCATGTACTAGGCTTTCTCCCTATCCTATGGCTGCTTGAACTTGACACCTGGATCCATCCCCATCATCATCATCACTATCACCGCCACCACCACCTTAGTCTTCCTTGGTGGCTTTCCCTCCTGTTTTGCTTCTCTTCCCTAGGAGCAGTTATGGGGGAGAGGTAATTCAATGGGCTGAAGGTGGTAAAACTGTTGGATCGTGGCCTTGGGCAGAGGCGGAGGGATGGTAATGGCCTTGGGCTGGGCCAGGCTGTTGCTTGAATATCCAGAAGCCCTCCCCACAAATCACACTTTGTCTAGGATAGCTTAACTTGGGGGAAGGGAAGGCACTTGGGGAATATTTCCCTTAAATTCTGGATCTTTCAGCTTTCTCTCATTGACCCACTCCAGCTCCTGAACATACAGATATGCCCTTTATTTTATATATCCCAGAGAGTGAAGTCAGAGTACTGTTCACCTCTAAATACTATGTGTGAGAAGGCTTGAGTTAATACCCGATTCCACTGTGACTAGTTGTGGAACAGGGAATGGGTTCCTTAACTTATGGGAATCTCAATTTCCTCACCTATAAAATGAGACTAGCACCTACTTTATTAGACTGTTGTGACAATGAAATGAGTGAATATGTATAAAGCCCCCCCAAGAAGGCTGTGAAGCCACATTAAATGAGATACCATATGTTAGGCATTTGGCATAGTACCTGGTATGCAGAAAGTGGCCAATAAATGCATCTGATAATAATGATGATAACAATTTCAGTTATCCTTATCCGGATAAAGGGGTCACTAACACTCCCTTGCGTTTTTCTTGGCTGCTTCATTAGAGCTCTCACAACAACTTACCTGTCTATTTTGTTTCTTCCTGGAAAAGGTCGTACAAAGCAAAGGGATGACAGGCCCAAATAGTTCTGCAGACAGAAAGCTGAGTCAAGGCTGGGTTTCCCCCAAGGTCCTCTTGGCCTCCAGGTTTCCCCTCTCTGCCACTAGGACCGCCTCCCTTGTGGTTTCCAGGGATGTCTGGTAGGGCTGGCTTCAGCCGAGAGCCTGGGCCAGCTTTGTTCTTTTTTCACATTTTGGGGCCAGAAGGGTGGAGGTCTCTCCAGCAGTTGAACTAAAAGCCCAAGACACCAGGTCAAAAGAAAGGAGGAGGTGGGGGGGAAGGAAAGAAAGCAAGCCGATAATTTCCTCGAAGGATAAACATCCGATTTTTTTCCCTCACCCAAAATAAACATGCTAGCCACAAGGAATTAAAAGCAGAAGAGGGGAGGATGTGTCTCAATTTGGGGCTGCTCTAGGAAGCTGACCTTCTATTTATCCTGGCCCTGGGCACCGACCAGAGCTGCCAATTACACCTTGGGCCTGGTGGAGTGGGGGCTGTGGAGGGAAGGTCCCAGAAGGTCCCTTCTGAGGCTGCCTTCTGTGACACTACAAATGGACACATCCTTTGGCTTTTTATTTTTTAAATCTGCTTGCGGGCTTGCCTGATGGGTTTGGAGGGAGTAGGGAGGCTCCATAGTTCCTACTGCCCGGGCTTCCTTTTGGCCCAGGCTGGCATCAAATGCCCTTCTAGAACACAAGGATTTGGTGTCAGAGCTGAATCTCTCAATGGTGGGGGCGGGGGGCATCATCTAATTCCCTCCCTATTCTTAAACTCAGTCTCCCATCCCATTGCATTCTTCACATCCCCACCACCAGTTTGAACTAGTTGTCCTACGAGCTAAAAGTGTGCTCAACTAGGCTGGGGTGGGGGCGTCAGGTATGGTCCCTCTGCCTTTCAACTAACATGGAGCACATCTCTAAGAAGGAAATAGCCCGGTGCCAGTTGCAGCCCGTTCCTTTCATCTGGGGATCTCAAAGCACTTTGCACACATGAGTCACCAATGTTGCTGCATCCTAGCCAAGGAGAAGGGGGTTATTAACTCTTGGAGGGAAACTGAGCTGGAGGGGGTATTGGGTAGGGGGTGCTGAGAGGACTGGTGTGGGGGTGGGGGAGTAGAGGAGCCAGGGTGTGAATGAGACTGTAGCAGACACAGGCCTCCCTTGGGTCTTTGGGTGGGAAGGCCAGGAGGCCAGCAGAGGAAGCCCATGATGTGAGATGCTGAAAATCCTTCCTTGCGGAAGCCATCTAAAAGTGTACATCTGATTATGGCACTTACCCCTCTGATCTGTTTATCACTCAGTCATTTCCCATTGCTTTTATGAAACAATCCACACTTTAATGTGGAGACAAGGTCTGGCCTGGCCTGGCCTTTGTCCATTCACCTGGCTATTCTCTCCCTTGCATACTTTTCGGCAGCAACCCCACTCCACTGACCTTTCATTTCCTGGAAGATGCCACACATGCCCTTGCTAGCCGCAGGAGCTTGGAGGAGCGCTGGAATGTTCTCTATCCCTGTCTCCACTCACCGAGTTAACCCCTACGCCACTTTTCAGCCCCAAGGTTAAACATCACTTCCTCTGGGAGGCCCTGCTTAACCCTTCAACCTTCCCCCTCTCCAGGAGAAATCAGGGCCCCTTTCTGTCCTCATGGCATGCCTCATGACAGGTTAGAATTTGCTTGTGGTTACCGGATGGCTATTTCTCTTCCTTCCTGGACTGAAAGCTCCTTGAGGCAAGCCCTGTTCACCTGTGTATCCTCAGAATCTAAGCGGAAGGGCAGGCACTAACCAGCATGACAATATTCATTTGAATGTATGTTGAATGTTGGAACTAGAAAGATTCATGGTGATAAACCAAACCCCCTCTGCCACTTCTTCCTACCTCAGTGTCACAGCTGAGGAAGCAGAACTTTAGAGACGATAAGCAACTCACTCGAGGTCACACAGAGTCTCAGTGGCAGTTCCAGCCTAGAGATCCCCGCGTCCTGCCTGTCCATCTAGCCCACCCCTCCCCCACCACTTGCATGTACAGGAATGCCCCAAACCCCAGTGCTGGGTATTGGCTGACTTCCTCTTGTGGATTTTCAAAGGAATACAGATTAGGAAGCAAAACACCAAGCAAGCCCTGGGTGATTTTTTTGTTTTTAATTTGGAAGGAAAGGGGTTCCGTACCCAGAGGGGGTTCCATACTCAGATCGTCAGTGGTGGGCACCGTGGACACACGTCTGAAGGTGGAGACTGTGGTCTAGCAGGCAGTTATCTCTGCTCGAGTTTGTCCCTTGGACTCACCACTACCTTCTCCAGTTGCCTGGAGGGGTAGCTAGTTCATGGGATTCTGGGTCATGAACTGGGTGCTTCCTCGCTTTTTAGTTATTTGGTAGTGGCTCAGAAAGTCATCCATCCTCCAAAATTCTGGAAGGACAAACATACAGGGAGGCGGTGAGAAAGAACCATGGGCCTGCGGGAGTTGGGCTGGCAGGTGATGACCTTGACCATTGGACTGAGAGGGAATAGTGCCTGGGGGAGCCTTCTGGTTCTGTCACAGAGGCAGCTCCTGGGAGTCAAGAGAGCCCTTGAGCAGTGGCAGGGTCACCTGCTCCCCAGGGGACTGAGAGGCCAGACCGTGACAAAGATGCCTGGGTCCCCTTTCCCAGCATCTCTATTTAGCATAACTCCACCTCCTCCTTCCTATTCAGAAAAGAAGTGCCCAATCAGGCGGGTTACCTGCTTCCTCCACCCACCCCACCCCCTCTTCCTGCAGGCCCTCCTCACCTCAGGACTGAGGCTTTCATGCTTCTTTTATTCACACCTGGTCACCCCAGCTGCTGGTGCTGAGATTGGTGAAAGTGTCTGTACTGTTCTTTCAATCCTCTCCCCAGAATCCCTACCACCTACTCCCCAGGGAAGCTCATGCAACAGGGTTTCTGCCCCATGGCAGAGGTCAGAGGGCAGTTCCTGGATCCTGGTGGGGGAGCTGGGGCCTGGAGAAGCCCAGTCAGTGCCCAGGTTGGAGGGGAGAGGACACAGGGGCATGGAGGACGGCACAACTTCTGGGGCAAGTATGGACAGGCCTCGTGCTAGGGCAAGGAGGACACAGCCCCGGGCGTGGAGAGAAGCTGAGAGAAGTGGTCCGAGGCATATTCCCACGCTCTTGTTTCCCAAACCCTGGGCCTCAGGCACCCTAGGTGGATGGTTGCCGGGAAAATGCAGGCCACCCAGTTTAATCTGAACTTAAGATAAATAATAGTTTGTTGGGGTGAGCCCCACATATGTCATGGAGTATACATATACTAACCTTTTTATTATTTTAATTCAAATTGAACTGGGCACCCTTCATTTTTTCCCCCCTTAAGCCTGCCAATCTTCCCTAGGTGGAAAGAATGTTTAGGGAAGAGCCTGCCGGAGCAGAACCAGGCAATGACCAGTATGCCAGGGACCCATGGAGACCACCTACCCACCCACTTGTCCTCAGCCTGCACCCACCACACTTTTCATAATCATGAAGACAGCAAGCCCACTGAAGCGCTTCCCCTCCTAGAGGCTGCTGGTGCTTCAAAGATATTCTCAAGAAGCGGACAATGTTTAACTCTCAAATCAAAACAATAACAACAATAATGCAAATAATAATATCAATAGTAATAACACACCCATGACAGTGCTTCCTATATGCTAGGTCCTGTTCTAAGAGCTTGACACCTCTGAATTCACTTAATCTTCACACCAATTCTAAGAAGGGAGGACTGTCATTATCCCCAGTTCACAGATGGGATGATGGAGACAGAAAACATGTTGCTGGTGGGGAAGCTGCTTGGAGGGCAGGGATCGGGGGAAAGCCCTTTGTGGGTTCCCTCGTGTCCTGTCTTAACTCAGTGACTGCATGCTCAACTGGGGCCCACGAGAGCAGGAAAACAAGGGGTTTCAGGGGTGCTCTTGTGGAAAGGGAGACAGAGGCGCTGAGAGAGCCTCTCTCATCGGATGGTGTGCCGGCCATGGTGGGGTTCCACTAGGAGGCTTTGTGGCAGCTGAGTGTCCTGTCAGAGGTGCTGCACCTGAGCCCCTGCAAGCTGGGAGCCTGGCTGGCTGGAAAGGAGTTATGGTGTCATTACCCTGGGAAAATGCGTCTGTGCATATGTGTGCATGCATATGTTCATGTGTATGTTTGTGTGTGCGTGTGCATGCCGGGGAAAGCGCTCATGAGTGAATTGATGTGTGGCAGTCACGGGGACAAGGGGACCTTCCCCATCAAGTGGGCAGGAAGGAACCTGCGTGGCAAGGAGGGAACTGAAACCCATCACGAGACCAGGGCAAGCTGACAGAAAGAAATCCCCTGCGCCTCGAGAGAGACCTGACTCCCCTCTCCTTGTTCAGAAGCCTCTGAGCCTGCGGTACCCTGGGGCCTCCTGTTGCCTTCCTAGTCCCATTTCTGACAACCCTGTGGTTCTCAGATTCCCTGGGGTGGCTCCTGAAACCCAGGCCCTGTGCCGGCCAGCCTTTCCCACCTCCTCTCCTGGCTCGGCCATGACTCCTTACACCCCCTGTTTCCTGCCACAGAGGGCAAGAGGAACTGACCCCATGCAAGTTCTAGAAGGGAGAGGGGTGAGTCAGGCCCTCGGGTGTGTCGGGAGAGATGGGGAGCTAGGAGACTGTGGCTTCCGTGGTCTCCGCTCCGAGGAAAGCCCCTTCCTGCATGGCACTGCTCTGTCCCCAGCGGCAGAGCTCGCTCTATGCTGGAAGGGGGTGGGGTGGTGCCGCTGTCTGTGCCAGGCCAATCCACTCATACCCTGGACTCACCCAGGCTGCGCTCTTCCTGGGACGAGGGCAGGGGTGTGTGTGCACTCCAGAGGCCTCTGTGGTGGGGAGGCCTCCGCTGAAGGGAGAAAGGAGGAGAAAGCTGTCTGATACCTGTCTCCTGAGCCAGCCGGGGGCTGGAACACAGAGGTCTGGTCCACTCAGGGCAGGCCTCCTGCATATGACATGCAGGGGAGGGTCCTTGCTCAACCTTAGGGGGTGCCGTTCCCATCCTGCGTAACCAGACATAGTGGCCCTGCCTAGAGTGCTGATAGGAGACATGGTAGAGATGAGAGATGTTAGATGTCAGAGATGCTCCAGATGGGGCCAAGGGGAGAAGCCTTCCTTCTTCCCTCCCTTCCTTCATTCCTTCCTTCCTTCCTTCCTTCCTTCCTTCCTTCCTTCCTTCCTTCCTTCCTTCCTTCCTTCCTTCCTTCCTTCCTTCCTTCATCTCTGGCTGTCCTTTCTCCCTCTCTCCCTCTCTCCTTCCCTCCCTCACTCTCTCTTTCTTTCTCTCTCTTTCTTTCTTGACAGAGTCTTGCTCTGTTTCCCAGGCTGGAGTCTAGTGGTACCATTGTGGCTCATTGCGGCCTTGAACTCCTGATCTTAAGCAATACTCCTGCCTCAGCCTCCTGAGTAGCTGGGACCATAGGCATGCTTCACCATACCCGACTAATTTTTTTTTTTTTTTTTTTGAGTTGGAGTCTCGCTCTGTCACCCAGACTGGAGTGCAGTGGCCGCTCCCGGCCACCGCAGCCTCGACCTGCTGGGCTCCGGCGATCCTTCCGCCTCAGCCTTCCAAGAGTAGCCGGAATTACAGGCGTGCACTACCACGCCCGGCTGATTTTTTTGATTTATTGTAGAGATGAGATCTCGCTGCCCAGGTGGGTCTCGAACCCGCGGGCTCAGGCAATCCACTCACCTCAGCCTCCCAAAGGCGCGATATTACAGGCTGAGCCACCGAGCCCGGCTCGACTAATTTTTAAAAATGGATTTTTTTGCAGAGATGGGGTCTTGCCATGTGGCCCAGGCTGGTCTCAAACTCAGCCTCAAGTAATCCTCCTGCCTCGGCATCCCAAAGTGCTGGGATTACAGGTGTGAGCCACCAAACCCAATCCCCAGATAACCATATCTAAAAACATCAGGGTTTTCTGAGCTACCACTGTGTGCCTGATCTCCCACTAGACTTAGGGGGGAATGAATGTCCCCTGTATTCTGCGGCTGGGAATGTAGAAGCTTTAGTCCCAGGGACTGCAATGCAGGAATGTTTGGAAACAGTCCTGGGGCAGGCTTTGACAGTCACTTTCTCCAACGCCAGCTTCCCAGCTTTGTGGGGCTGCTTTCCACTGTTTGGGAGTGGCTTATCATGTGTAACTGGCCAGGCCATTGGGTGTGTTAGGGCTAAACAGGCATCCAAGAGACTAAGATTCCACCAAGTCTCACTACTTGGTCCCCTTGCAGGACTCAGGAGAATGGAGTGGATCACTCCTGTGCTTGAACGTCCATGCTGTGTGCTGAGGGGTTCAGAGCTTCTCTGGGCCTCTGTGGGGGGAGCTGTCTTATTCTGTCTCCTGCCCTTAGTGAGTTTCCAACATAACACAGTAATGCTGTCTTTTTTTTTTTTTTTAAGTTGGAGTCTCTCTCACCCAGGTTGGAGTGCTGTGGCAGGCTCACACCTATCGCAACCTCAACCTGCTGGGCTCAGGTGATTCTCTCACCTCAGCCTTCCAAGTAGCTGGAACCACAGGTGTGTGCCACCATGCCTGGCTAATTTTTTGATTTATTGTAGAGATGAAGTTTTGCCAAGTTACCCAGGCTAGTCTTGAGTCCTTGAGCTCAGGCAATGCTCTCTCCTCCATCTCCCAAAGTGCCGGGATTATAAGCGTGAGCCACCATGCGCAGTCATAATGCTGGATTTTTTTTTTTTTTTTGAGTTGGAGTTTAACTCTTGTTGTCCAGGCTGGAGTGCAGTGGCACACTCACTTCCACCCCAGTGTTGCACCTGCTGGGCTCAGGCAATCCTTCCACCTCAGCCATTCAAGTAGCCAGAACTACAGGCGTGTGCTACTGTGCCTGGCTAATTTTTGGCTTATTGTAGAGATGAGGTCTTGCCAAGTTGCCTAGGCTGTTCTCGAACCCATGCGCTCAGGTCATCCTCTCGCCTTGGCCTCCCAAAGTGCTGGGATTATGGGCTTGAGCCACCACACCCGGCCCATAATGCTGGATTAATAGTAACCTGGTCCTTCGAAGGGTGGCCTTGGCTAGTAGCACAGCTTTGTCTGGGTGCCTGGCCAGTGGGGTCCTAAGCCAGTGAGGCCCCAGATTCCCTTCAGTGGACTCACTCTTTTTTTTAGTTGGAGTCTCACTCTGTCATCCAGGCTGGAGTGCAGTGTCACGCTCACTGGCCACCCCAGTGTCGACCTGCTAGGCTCAGGCAATCCTTCTGCCTCAGCCTTCCAAGTAG